TGAAATACCTGTTGGTCTGGCAAAAATCTCAGGTTTGACAGCATACTCTGTTGGCAAGGCTCTGGGAAAATAGTTATACTCTTGCCTTGCTGATGGGAGAGAAAATTGTTGAAACTCTAGGGAGAAAAACTTGGAAATATTTAACAAAATTTCCTGTGAATTTACTGTTTGAGTGTACTTGGGAATTTACCCCTAAGATATCTGGCAAAAATACAATTATGCAGAAGGTTATTCATTACAACTCTTTTTTTTTTGTTTTAATAAGAGTGAAAGACTGGAAACAGCCAAAATGTCTACCCATAGGGTATTGAAGAAGGAGTTAAAGCAAATAGCCTGTGATTTATTTCCCTTCTGATTACCAGGAAGACACTAGAGATGGGGGAAAAGGTAAGTGACCTGGTTTAAGCTCCTTATAAACATATTAACTAGATCACTGGACAAATAGATTAATTATTTTTTTGCTCAGGAGCCAATCCTCATCAATGAAATGCTTCAAGCAGGAAATTCCTGGTTTAGCATGTTATGGTTAACAAATCTTCAATTCATAGAGTTATGAAGCATGACTCTCTGGAGAACATCATATGAGCTATTCAAATTTCTTAGGCAAAAAACTGGGGCTGCTGCAAAATTAAATAGTCCCTGCTTTGTGAGGGACCTGAAAACCTCATTAGAAACCTCATCTATCACTCTGGGCCAGAAAGCATGGATCTGGAGTGAAAAAGAACCTGGGTGCCACTTGGGAAATCCTGGATCTCTTGCTGCAGTACCAGTGTCCCTTGATCACTTGTATCCTTGAAATTATTAGCAAAGCTTGATACTGATAAGAACCCTGATCTGACCAATTTTATTGCTTGTGTTAGCTCATTCACACAAAGCAATGCATCTGCAGTGAATAACATGTATATTACTAATGTGGAATTATCTCTAGGAAATATTCACAGTAAAAGAAAAATCAAAGTGCAGAAGAATGTATTTTATATGACACTCTCCATGCAAGGACACTGCAGGAATACAGATATAATAAGTATTAATTTGCATGTGCAAAAGTAAACATCAGAGGGTTAAACCAAAAGCTAATAAACATGTAACTGCAGAAGAAAGAAGAAACAGGGCGAAAGGAGGAGAAATGAATGTGACATTTCTCTGAAAACAACCTGTCATATAATTTGTACTTGGAGACACATTATACATTCAAAAATAAAATAAAAATTTTAAAAATTGGTTGAAATTAAAGATTCTAAAACAAATGAACCAAATTATATATGAAATTTATGACTTGACCACATAGAGAGAGAAAAAAAAATTAAGCGACTTTAGTTTTCAGTCTTTTGATCATACATTTTTCATAAAATATAAAAAAAGACAAAGTGAATATTTTTAAGACTTCATTCAGTAATCTTATTATAAGTGGTAATATTAGTGTCAGCATTATTTTGAGAATATCACATAGCCATTAAAATGAAACATGTAATATCAGAGAAATTTAAAATTTTATAAGTTTACACTTGAATTGGAAATACTGTATGATTTCAGGATTTATTTTTCTTAAAAAAGGTTATTTCCTAGCTCCATCTATTGAAAAGGCCTAGAAACAATGCCATTCCAGAATTGATGAGAACCCCTAGTATTTAGATTATGGTTTCCAAATACTATTCTCCACATAGAAGGAGGGGCTCCTTGAAAGATGCCTGACCTGGTACATCTATCTAGTTGTGCTAGAAACATGGAAATTATAAAAGACCAGTAGGCCTGTGTCAGAAAGACAAGAAGTCACTGAAGTTTTTCCCAATGACTGAAAGGGAACAATTTGAGTTTACATGAATAGGGGGATAGACTAACGAGTAAAATACCACAGACAAATTCAGAGTGTGAGACATTTCACAAGAGAATTGACCTGGATTCTTCAGAAATCAGTGACATTACGAGAAACAAAATAAATTGGGGGAAACCATCTGAATAAAGAGACTTGAGAGATGAAAACAAAGTGTATAGTAGCATGCTGATTCAAACCAATATCTGTAAAACAACATTTATGAGATGATCAGAAAATTTAAACATTGACTTGGTGATAAAGGATTTGGGGCCACATGCTAACCTGACAAGCTCGGGGAAGGCCTGCATGGCAGCCTTGCAAACTCAAAGACCAAAAGTAGCCATAAGGATGGTATGAAATTAAAACTTTTAGCTAAAAGCAATTTATGGCAGTAGTCATGTCCTGGGCCAGCCTCTTCACTGACAAAGGTCAATCTTTATCTTAACTGAGCCTGTCTATTGTCTTTTTGCATATCTTTGAAATGTCAAAATAATTTTCCTTTTTTGGAACCCCTCAAATTACAAGCACTGCTCTACTGAGACCATAAATCCTCTCATTGTTATTGAGTTAATTGTTGACTATTAAGTAACCTGTACCCACTATGTAAAAGATGTATGTGTCTATCATTTTACTTTTCATTTTACATTTACTTTTCATCCAGTCCCAGAGGTTTCCTTTGCTTTCTCCCACCTCCCTAATCTGTCACCAAAGGATTTCATGTAACTCACCTGCATCTTCTTGGATTGTAATGTATAAAATATGGTGCAGAACTGCATTCTCTGGAGCATTATCTCAATCTGTTGAGATTTTGCTTCCCGACAATTGTGATAGTTTGGCTCAAATAAACTCACAAAAATTATTCACAGGTTGGAATGTTTCTTATGTTGACAGATGCTAAGGAGTTATTGTTATTTTTCTTCAGCGTGATAGTGGCATTAAAATTCTAGAAGAAAACACCGATTTTTTCAGGGAGGTATACTGACCTATGTAGGGACAAAATGACATAATGTCTGTCATTTTCTTTAAAATTTATCAGGCAAAAAAAGAAAAATAGGTAAAGCAAGTATGACAAAAGTCTTACTGAAGCTGGGAAATGAATATATGACATTCAAATTTTTTTCTCTCTCCTTTTGTGTATGTTTTCCATTTTTCAGAATGTGAAAGGAGAAGTATGAGAAAGATGCTTTGGAAAAAGACTTCCCATGAAATGAAGCTGCACACGATTTTCCATTCTTTATTTTAAATTGGCCTGTGGGATCAGCCCATCCAAGCGGATTTCCCCCAATAACCTCAAGAACTATATAGAGAAATAAATAAATATTGGAATCAATTTAAAAATGGCACAAAAAATGCTGTGACACTCATCTTGGTGATGATCTATCTATTCTCTTTCACTATTGGGAAAATAACACATTTTAAAGTATTTTATTTTTTCTTTTGTATGTTGTAAGCACTCTGTCAGCTTGATCAGTACACATAAAAACACATGTTCAATATGATAAAAAGAACTAGTCAAAATACACTTTTAGAAAAAAATTTATTTCATTCAATAGTTGTATTGGCATTGCAAGTTCAATATAAGATGATAAATGCCACTGAGAGAGAGCTGTCCTAATACGCTGCCATCATCTCCAAGGGCAGGTGGTTAGCAACATTACTGGCCCTACCTCTATATTTTCTGATGTTATAACCCATTGTTTTTCTTTTGGGGAGACACAGGTGTAGAAATGTTAATGTCGTTAGCAAATTATTATAAGGAAAAAATCAAGGAAAGTAAAAAATTGTTAAACACAGTCAGCTGGGGACAATGAGCCTGAAACTACAGCTTCACACCCTAGGATTTGCAGCATTGCCCCTCCAAGGAGATCAACACCCATCCCTTCCCCCTTGTGTGTGTGTGTGTGTGCGCGTTCCTGTGGGGGAGCAGGGGAAGATAAGGACATGGGCAATGAAGTCAAAATGGTGCAGGGGGAGGTACTTAACCATAGAGGCCTGTCAATCTAATTTGGAAAACAATCACTGGCTATGGGGGACGGAACCAATGCAAGCTCAGAGCAGTTTGGGAAGCTGATTGGTTATTTTGAAAAAGCTTGTGGATGCCCTGGCTGGTTTGGCTCAGTGGTTAGAGTATTGGCCTGTGGTCTGGGAGACCGGGGTTTGGTTCCAGCTAAGGGCACGTACCTCGGTTGCAGTTTGTCCCTGGCCCTGGTTGGGCCATGCGGGTGGCAACCACTCGATGTGTCCCTTTCATGTTGATGTTTCTCTCTCCCTCCCACTCTATCTGAACAAAATATCAAAAAATGTCCTTGGGTGAGGAAAAAGCTTCTGGTTCCTTCCAAGCCTGAAAATACATAATTCCAGGCAAACCAAGAAGCTCTTCCCTTTCTCACTGACCTGAGCTGGCCCATTCAATGTCGCACTATCTCGTCCACGAGCATGCCAACATGTGGGTTTAGTGGCTACCTGGGGCCCGCAGCAGATTGCAGAGGCTCCAAAGGACTGTGATGCAGAAACTCTGGACACTGGCCTTTGCCCTGGCCTTGTTAACGGCAAGTTGTACTTTTTTCATGGCAGAACAGACAAAGATGGGACATTGGGAAGCCAGGAGGAGAACTCTTTTAATATTATATCACAAATAAACGATGCCACCATATCACAGTCTCCCATGTGTGGGTCCTTGGAATTCTTTCCTCAAAGTCCAGTAGAAGAGTCTAATTTCCACTGATGTCATAAATGCTTAAGAGTGATGTGATCTCAACCTGGCACTTAGAGCTAATATCTAATAATTTTAATAACTGGAAAGATATCAATATAAATATAAATATCTCTGCACTAAAACTATAGAACTGAATATGACAAATTAGGTGAATGAACTAGAAGAAAGTAAACTCTAATTCTTATAACTCTTTAACTATACAACTTCCCTTATATAGTTTTACATTTTAAGAAGTGTTTTCAAATAAATTACTCCATTTAATCTTCAGGTCCACTCTGTATGCAGGCAAGGATTTTATAATGCAAAACTCTACAAAGAAACCAGGTCTAAAGAGGCACACTCTTACTCCAGAGCACAAGCTTACTTACTGAAGTAGTGGTAGCAATACCACTGCTTTATAATCAATAAATTACTTAGAATAAAATAGGACATTAGTAACCTAAACGAGGAGACATGCTGAACTCCTCTTACCTTTCAAAGCCAATCTGCCGAAATGTCTTTTCCCACGTTGAGCCTGTAACAGAAGAAAGGAGCATAATTAGTGCACATCTATATTCTGATAGTTTTGTCCTGTTTTTGCACACCCTGCCAGGTATTTGGTTTTAATTTAAGTGGAAGACTTTGTTTCCCCTGGGATGCATCCCTGCTTTCCTCCAGTCCCCAAATAGCCTTTTAGAGAGCATTCCACATCGGGAGTTAACAGCAAAAATCTCTACCCCATTTTCCTGTGGTAAGGCAGTATCATTCTCTAAACATCTGTGTTTGGTTCAGAATAATATGAGCAAAACTCTCCTGTCAAAAATAATTAAATAGCATATTGTAAATTGTATTCCTAAAATTCAACTTTTACTTTGTGGATCATATGGGCAACTAGATGACACTGTAGGGGAGCAAAATTTGCCACCCCAAAATGTGTCTGTCATGAGGATAATTTTAGGCTGATTATTTGTAGGAACAGAGGACACAGGAAGTTTTCTTTTTATGTTGCCCTTAATGGCCTAGGATAATTAGATATCGTTGTCTGTACTAGAAAAAATAGCTATTACCAAAGAAAACTTCATTTTACATCAGAAAAACTTCTCAGCATTTGTTTAACATATGCTTTTCCCATCTTCCCATGAACTGTCTTCCTACCTGTGAAGTCCCAGACCCGACCTCCTTCTTTTTACACAGCAATAATATATAAACCTCAACTGCCTGACTATCTGGGAGCCTCATATCTTTGGAATTCCCATATTTATAAAATTAAATTTGTTTTTCTCATGATAATCTGTATTATGCTAATTTAATTAGACCAGCCAAAGGAACCTAGAAGGTAGAGTAGAGCGCTTTCTTCCCCAACAACACTCTGCATTTCCAGCTCATTATATACCAAGCCTCTATTTTACTAATGTTGAAGCACAGGATTAACATTTAATATTATAAGCTGAATATTTTAATCAGAAGTCTCCTGCTGTTTTAAGTAACGTGATTTGAAAAGTAGTATATCCAACTCCAAAAAAAAAAAAAAACAGCTGAGTATAAAAAATATTTTTATATAAAAATTAAGGGTTTGTGCTTAACCCACAGTTTTATATTTTCATGATGTCCAATCAGTTTCAAAATTATTTTAATTTCAGTAACTATTACAAGTAAACGCCCATGTATCCCTAAATTTATAAATTGTGTTTTGTACTAATTGCTTCATAATCATAGCAGATAATTACTGCCTTTCTGTACAGTTTAGTTCTTCAAACAGGAAGCAGTGGATTCATCATTGGTCTCCAGGGGCAGCTCAAAAGTTACCCTAAAGTCACAATAAATTAGGATGGTGCTTATGTTTCTTTCTTGAGAACTCTGCCTCACATGCTTTCTCTTCAGGTGGCCACTCAGTGTCTCCTCAACATTAGACAGACTTTCAGGGAAGATGGGAGATTATGCAGGAGGAGTTTCTTTTCTGAGGACTGATCTAGTCCCAAGAGAGCACAAACATGCTGCTTCTTCTCCATGGAGTTTGGGTTCATACTCCTTGGTTATGAGAGCATTTTAAATAATTTTTTATAAATAATAAAGGACTAAATTTTAGGTACAAATTACACAAACATACACACACAAATTTAAAGCAGATGCAGGTTTATCTTCTTGGATGAAGTCACTCTTATCCAACTGAATTCCCGTATGCTTTGCTGAAGAGGAGTAAATGATATGAAGTTTTATTTAATCAGCCCAAGAATTTCTCATGGCCCTAGACTCCAGGGAGTGGACCCCCTATGAATGTTAGCTGTCCTGTGAGTCACATGCAAAACAATAAAAAAATCTTTATTTCAGGAATTATTTGAAGACAATTATTTTGCCCCTAAGAGCCTAGCAATTAAGACACAGGTAAAGAATACATATCTGAGTCAGATTCTAGAACAGCTGGCAACTGCCTGGCCCAAACTAAGAAGCAGGAGAGATTGAGAGTGTCCTGCCACGTGAGAACCAGACAGTCTGAGTGCAGACCAACTGGGAAGGGTCCGGTGGAAGGTGGAGTGGGGATGGGGTAGCAGTGGTGGGGAGTTGGTTTAGATGTTACTTTCCTTGCTTTCTGTGAGAAAGAAAACATCTTTTAAATTTTTCTACATGTGCATTTCCCCAGATTTTTAGTATATTTCTAAATTCATTTTTAAACAAAATTTAAGGAAAAAAAACCTGTTAAATAGACTCAACTTATTATCAAATTAAAATAAATATAAATGACTTTGCTATACTGCACTATCAGGCCTTTAGAACATGAAGCTTTAATTAAGAAATAGGTTCCGCCTTCTTATTTTGGAGAAAAGTAAATTTACTCAAGCAGGCAGAATAAGTCAAAAGTGTTTGGTGCAAGACTTCCAGAAATCCATAGAATAAATATTATAAAGCCACTCAACCAAGCACAATACAATGATGAAACAACTTCCTTTTAGTCATTAGAAATCAATTTAATTGATATTTTGAGCATCTTATGTACTATAGCCATCCATCATCGTTTGCTATTGATAGAACTGAATATATTAAAATTTAAAAAAGGAGACATCTATAATACTTTCAACAATACAAAAAATAAAATAAAATAAAATAAAATAAAATAAAATATGGTTTCTGACCTCAAACTCCACACACCCTAGAGGGTTAGGTTTCTATGTCGTTTGTGAGCACTTAGTCATGATGAAAGGAGAAACACACAGTAAATGAAACAAACATATCCAGATCCTTTGGCACCAAGAATATTTTTGGCAGCCCATTATTCAGTTGCTGGGGAATTCTTTTAAAGCCATTAACCATGTTTTACATGGTAAGGTAATATTATTCCCCCTTGCCAGAGCAGTCCAACATGGAGGGAAATGTAGAGAAAACAAAAGGAGCTGGCAGACTTTCTTGATTCAACACTTTAAAAATGAGATTTAGAATATGGAGAAATCTAAAACATGTTACATTCTTCAGGAAAAAGCAAACAACAGCAACAAGAACAAATACATACATATATATCTATATACATATATATATCTATATCTATATCTATATATATATATATATAGATATAGATATAGATATATATCTTAGAATGATGGATACAATCCGTAAGAGGGATTTTCCCCTTGCCGTCTTAAATGTAGTTAGAAATGATTATGATTCTTCATTTTTAAAAGCTGCCGTTTATAGCAAAGACATCCCAACAACAGAATTGAAGACCAGAGGCAGGAAACAAACCTTGGACTAAATGTCATTCAGTCTATGGAGCAAGTTCCAATGTCTAATTTCCTGTATATACAAAGAGACAAACTACCCCTTTGGAGCTGACATTCCCAGGACTCCAAGGGGAGCTACCAAAGTGTAGGACATTCCTTCCTTGAGGCATCAACATTTGCTCCTCTACAAAAAGAACAAAGGTCCATCTCTCCATTTTTACTCTCCCGCCACCCTCTCCCTCCACCCTCGCCCTCCCTTTTGCCCCCATCTACCTATTCACTTCTGTCAGTTCCGTGTTCCCTTCTGCTTTCCGTCACAGAAAAAATGTAAGGAAACTTCATTTCTTTGGGAACTACTTTCCCCAGGCCCATGAGCTTCTGTGGGGCTAGTAGTCATAGTACCTCTCCCTCCCTGGCCACATAGTCAGGGCAGGCTGGCCACTCCTCATAGCACCCTATCTCCCAGGCCACAGGGTTATGAGGATGGAAATGTGATCCACTAGGTCAGGCAGAAATAGAACTTTTCCCAACTGGCTTTGCCTAACCCTGAGGATGCTCTCTCTGCTCGCCTTCCAGAGAACCAGGATCATGTGCGCCCAGCCCTGACGATATTCACACAGTGGCCATGTTCCCACCATGTAGAGAAAGCCTGTGTAAGAGGAAAGAGGGGATCCATGAGGAGGGGTAGCCTGGAGAGTGAGGAGAGGGGGCTCCTGATGGCATCCCTTTCTGATCCCAGCTGCTCCTGATGCCCTTGCTTTTCCTGTCACTCATTATAGGACAGGAAAAGTAATCTGCAAGTTTAGTTTTAAGTCTAAATTCAGTTTAGTCTTATGTCTAGCTTTAAGGCTGACATTTGTATCACAAAGAGCACTAAATATGAACAATAAAAATAAGATTTGAACAATGCACTGAGCATCCAACTTTAGGTGGGAAAAGAAACATTGTAAATAATTCTAGTCATTGTTTTGGTGCCCTGACCTTTCGGTGACAGGATGACCACTGAACCACACAGGCCAGGGCGGATCCTAGTTGTTTTTAACCATATTTTATATCAAGGGAGTGAACATTCTCCCCCAATTAACATGGCAATAAAAACAGCTTACACTTCATGCTAACTTCATACATATAAGCTAATTTGATCCTCCCAAATACACCATGAAGTCAGTACTATTGTCATATCCCCTTTGCAGGTGGGAAAACTCTGGGTAGAGATTTGGGATCCTAGTGCCAATGCTGCTGGCTTTTTTACTTATTGTGTTGTCATATATGTTGGGGGTATTTTTGTCTTTTCTTCTTCATTTTCCTTTTCATATTCTCCTTCCTAACATTTGTCTCTTTCCCAATCTGGCTACAATATATTTAAAGTTTTTATGCCTGATTATTAATTTTAGAACCATGGGAGTACCTATAGCAGAAGTTATCTGTCATCAAACCCCTTCTTCCTTCACCTTTTTTCATCTAACTGGGGGAGGGGGGCATCTGGCCCGCAGGCCATGTGAGGCCTGTGAAATCAATACCAGCTAACATCACAGCTTCACCAAGTTAGCCTGACCAAATATAGCAGGCTAATTTTTAAGTTGATAATTTTGTATTATCAACTTAATAATGTTATAAATATCCTTGGCAGAAAATGGCCTTTGGCAGAAAAAAGGTTCCCCAACCCTGAGGGCCTATGAATTTCCAATGTTAATTCTATTTAGCAGCACACCCAGCAGGAGCTCAATCTGTACAAATTCATGTGGGCAGAAAAAGGCGTGCACCAATGTGTAACCTGCGGATGATGGAAGAGAGAAGATTTCTTTGTTGTAATTTTTCTGTCATT